TTGCGTAAATCTCCGATAGTCGCATAACCGGATTTTCCACAGTCTCTTTTCAAACACGAGATCGCGAGTTTTTCCGACCACGTCTCTCTCTCTCTCGCTCTCTTTCTCTCTCTCGCTCTCTTTCTCTCTCTCGCTCTCTTTCTCTCTCCTTCCTCCCTCCCTCCTCCTCTCGGACCGCATCCCAATCGATCCTTCAAGCGTTCCCGTAGAAGAGCGGCTGCTCAGAGCCTTTGCGCATAGAGAGTCCTTGCCGCGTGCATACTGCTCTGCTCGTGTTTTTTTTAGCTCGTTTAAATACGACCGTCAGACTAGGGGTGCGTTCCTTTTTCACTCCAACATGCTAGAAGCATCAGTTTATAGTTTATCTCTATCAAATATTAAACAAAGAAAATTGTAAGCAAACATATCCTAGATTTGTCTAATGTAGTTTCTCACATTGCAGAGTTGTGTGTTCCTGATTTTGAGCGAGTCCACGAAAAATTAACCATCAAAATGGCAAATGAACCTGATATGCCCACCTTCAAGTGTGTACTGGTCGGTGATGGTGGTACTGGCAAGACCACCTTCGTCAAACGGCACTTGACCGGTGAATTTGAGAAGAAGTATGTTGCCACTCTAGGAGTCGAGGTCCATCCGTTGATCTTTCACACCAATCGTGGACCGATCCGCTTCAACGTCTGGGATACGGCTGGTCAAGAGAAATTTGGTGGCCTTCGCGATGGCTACTACATTCAGGGTCAGTGTGCCGTTATCATGTTTGATGTTACATCTAGGGTAACGTACAAAAATGTACCCAACTGGCATAGGGATCTGGTTCGTGTCTGTGAAAACATACCAATTGTCCTTTGTGGTAATAAAGTCGACATCAAGGATAGAAAAGTCAAGGCCAAGAGCATTGTATTTCATAGGAAGAAGAACCTTCAGGTATTTTTATATGCAAATAATTATTAACTGTATATTTATTTTTTTTGTACATCCTTTAAATTTTTTTCATTCCTTTTATTAATCTTTTAATGATGATTCAGTGGTCTGATGGCGAAGAAAGTGAAGACATTATACTGTCCCTCTAATCTGAAAATCTTATCAATTTGTCTGTACAGGATGTCTTAGAATTTAACTTAGGATTTAACTATGGACAAACTATAGGAGTATATAAGTGGAAATAAGAAAAAAATGTAATATATAATTTGGCTAGAAGTATTATTGTAAAGTTATAAGCAAATATTAAAATGAAACATGAAACAATGAAATTTGTGCAGAATATGAAAATGTATCTGTCTACGGAAAGCTCGAATGTATTTATCTTGTGTGTGCATTCATATCATATTCACCATCTTTAAAGGAGTACCTAGATGCATAAAAACAAAAATTTATGAATTTTTTGCGAAAAAAATGAGATAGAGAATGTTTGTTTTATTATAAAGATTATATTTTTTATATTTTATATTTGAATTTTATTAAAAATCACTATTCATTTTTTTCCAAGTCATATTTTGAAAAAAGATTTGTGATGATCACTGCTGTTTCCATAAAAAAACCTCGTCCGAAAACAATGCTACAAGTTGAAACATAGATATAATTTTTTCTTAACGTAACCGGTTTTTAAAATATTATATTTGAGTAAAATGGCAGTTGGTCAAATATATTTTATTTTAATAAATTGCTACATGAAGATGATAGATCTATGTTTCAACTTTTGAAACTCGTGGCATTGCTTTCAGTTTTTTTGTGGGAGCAGCAATGGTCACCATCATCAAAATCCATTTTTTCAAAACATGACCTAAAAGATATTAAATAACGATACATTTTTTAATTATTTTTAATAAATTTTAAATATGGAATAGAAAAAAATATGGTCTTTATAATGGAACAAACAACTTCCCTATTTTTTTCCACAAAAAATTTGTAAAGTTAAGGAGCATTTATACTGGTCATAATTATATGTCGACTGTAAGAAAGGGATACTCGACTGTAATTAATCAATTATTACAGATTACGGCACACGATCACAGCCAGTATAAATTATCCTATAGATTTCGTTTTAACGCGTCTAGGAATATACTCCTTTAAACATATATAATGATAAATACACATGAGATAAACACGATCTTTCCAATATACATATATACATGAAATATACACTTTCCTATTATGCACAATGGAAAATCCATTGTTTCCTATTTCATATTTCGTTTCAATTTTTGTTTATGACTGCAATAAAACATTTCTAGCAAAATTTCATATAACATTTTTTTTTTTTTAATTTCCACTTGTAGAATGCTCCTGTAGGTTTGTTCGTTAAATCCTGAGACACTGTATAATTTTACAAGGCGTATAAAATAAATAATCTTTATGTTACAGTACTACGATATCAGTGCAAAAAGTAATTACAACTTTGAGAAACCTTTCCTATGGTTAGCGCGCAAGTTGATTGGAGATCCAAACCTCGAATTCGTCGCTATGCCTGCGCTGTTGCCACCGGAAGTTACTATGGATCCACAATGGCAGCAACAAATTGAGAAAGATCTTAAAGAAGCTCAAGAAACAGCATTACCAGAGGATGATGAAGATCTTTAGTTTATTTAACACATTGGGGATGGTCTTTACAGAGAGTAAGGCCTATTATGCGGGTGCTCCGTGGTCGTATCGCGCACTCGTACATCTTCATAAAAGTCGAAGATTCTTTCTTTAAGAAAAATATAATTTACATGCAATATTTAGTTCGATGCTTTATGCTGGGCACCCAACTTCTGTGAATTTGCATGTTACATGTATAGCCTTAAAGACGGGTCGCTTAAATACGTTGTAATACGGAATGCGCAACATGTGTGTGATTGTGTATGCGATGTGCACTTGAATGTCTAGATTTTATAAAATTCTTATGTAATAATGGTGATATATTATCACATAAATTAGAAACAGAATAAAGTAATGGTGAAACTGCGGAAATGATTTGTGATACGAATTCATAGAACCCAGCTGATTGAAGCTGATACGTAATATGAAACAACCAAAAAAGAATTCATTACATTTTCAGATTCGCTCGTTTGTATAGATGTGCGTGCGTGCGTGCGTGTGTATGTACATATATACATAAGAAATGGAATTGTGTAAGGTGTGCTGTATATTAAACACACAATCACGCTAACCCACTTTAAGGCATATAAAAAGTAACATCATCTGTTTTTTATTTTTGTTTTATTTTCATACTTTCCTAACACAAAGTATAAGATAAAAACTGCCAATTCTGAAACGGATAAAATTGTGAGCGAAATTGCTGTCAGGTTCAAATGTAGCAAATAGAATTGCACTGGCACCAAATGCGTCTTCTTGCAAATCCAGGTACATTTTCTGTAGCAATTGACTAATCGGTCAATTGCTAAAGACGCTCGGTGCAAGTCACTTCAATCTCGCTATGATAGAACAAGATAACACGTTTGCTCTCGATTGAACGCAAACATAGTAAATCAGTATGCAGTGATTAATTTACGAGAAAGAATCTTGCGATATTTACAAAATTAATATTAGAAGTCACTGTTTACATACTTAAGTATGGACAGCAAAATAAAACTGGACTGAAGTATCATTAAAAAAAACTAACTTATGCCATATATAAACTTTCTTGATGAAACTGCTTAAGAAACTTACTAGTGTATAAATTGAAAGGTACGAATGTTGAGAGAGCGACCATCTTTCGTGAGTAAGCATCTCCCGTGGTGTAGTCTTCTATTTTAATAGAAAGAATGTTTCGAGATTGAAGTGAAACAGATTCGTAACCTGTTGCGTCTGTCCCGTTTCGACAAGGACTGTTTGCTATTTTTATAAGCAAAAGATGTATGTATGATTTGTTCAACTTAAATTATATGAATTGTTTTTTTTTTACACAAGGAAATCCGTTCTGTGTTAGGAGTGTGAAATTGTTAACCTTTCCCTTTGAAATCCATTCCCATTAATCTGATAGAAATCTGATAGAAAAAATACATTACATGTAAATTACACTGCTGAATATCTAACATAGAAAGGAACTGGGAATAACACATTGCAACATGTATATTTAATTCTTGTATACTTCTAATAGTGTTTCATTGTTCTGCTTGAAGCAGATTGTATCACGCTGATGTATGAACTTTAATAAATTATCAAACTGTTTTTGAAGCTATAACGCCTTCAGATTTATATTAATTTGTGTAATCCATTTTACTAATTTAATGGTTTGTTTATTTAAAACTTGTACAATACTTTTGCGTTGTCTACCAACGCAGATACATGAAAACTGAATAAGGAATGAATACTCTATAAACACATACAGGATAGCTCACGTAAAGTGTTACAAATTATTACCTCTGAAAGTATATATCAAATGAAAAATGTGTATTTAGACAAGTTTTATAATTTTGGGGAGGACATAAGATGGAACTATTGGTTTGACTTTAGGTAACTTTGTCAAAAATTTTAAAGTTACTTTACCTTGACCTAGTCAAGGTAAAGTAACTTTAAAATTTTTAAATAGAACCCTCCATTTTTATTATTAAGGCTTGAAAGTTACAATATTGCTAGCATTAACATTTTATCTAACGATTTGAAAAGTACTTCATGAAAAAATATTTTATTATAGTGTTTTGAAAAGCTCTTGGGTGTGCTACAAGAATATATAATGAAAAGTGGGGAATTTCATTAAAAAAATTCAAATTAATTTTGCCCTGACTTTGCCAACATCAAACCAATAGCTCTATTTTATGTCCCCCTCGAAGTTAAAAATTTTTGTCTGAACATATTTTTCATTTAACACATACTTTTAGAGATAATATAGATAGCTTGTAACACTTACAAGGGCTATCCTGTGTGTGTGTGTGTGTGTGTGTGTGTATACATATATATATATATA